GGGTGTAGTGGAAGAAATGATTTAGCAAAACACTGAGTGCTAAGAGTCACCCGGGTATGGCACTTTAATTTAGGAGCTAAAGCTACAGCAGCAAACAAAACAGTGCCTAGCACATAGTGGGTGCTTCCTAAATAGTATTTGTATGTCTAAATAACTCATGCATGTACACTGTATAATTTGAACTATTTTATGAAATTAATGAAAATATGCATTTCATATAAAGGCAAGAAATAACGAGTGAAAAATTGAGTGTGGCAAAGGCATTTTTTTTTTTCAAATTTTTAGCAGAAAAAAATATCAGTTCTCTTATTTCCCATCAGGAGCAGAGGGTTTGTTTCCATTTTTTCCTCTAAGGTCAGATGATTTGAGGAATGCTTCTGTACTATTCTAAATATTTTATTTATTTATTTATCGTTTCGGTACAGATCAAACTTAGAACCTTGTACTTGCCAGACAGGCACTTATGCGGTTGAGCTATCTCCCTGGCCTTTCTGTATTGTTCTAAATAGTCTCTTCTTGGGACAGTGTGGACAATCCTTTTGCTATTATATTTTTTTAGATAAGGTTCATTATTTTTTACTGTTATGTCATATTAACAATGAGGAAGACCAGGTGTGGTGGCACATGCCAATAATCCCAGTGCTGGAGAGCCTGAAAACAGGAGGTTCACTATGAGTCCAACATGCAAATTGAGACCCTGTATTAAATATATAAAAAAAAATTGAGGAAACTGAGGCAAGGAGGTTCACTAACTCATCCAGTGCAGTAGATACGCAGTAGATGGGAGGCAAGCACACATAGCAGCTGCTCATTGTAATCATTGTTTCCTCTTATTTACTTCTATAGCTTGAGTTTAATATCCCCCTTGTGACAGAAAATAGTGTCTCAGAGGTGCCGGATTCTGGAATCTAACTGGAGTCACTGTTTCTTCATTAGAAAATAAATCCCAGCCTTGATCTCTTCCAAATTCTTTTGTCCAGCTGTGGGCTGGTTGGTTCAGCCTTTATCTACGAGTTGCACCTTGTATTTCTCTGCTGTCCATATTCCAAGCCTTTGTTCTGAGGATAGGAAAAGGGAATGACATTGTCTGCCTACCCCAAGCCTGAGTCATTATGCAGACAAGAGACGATGAACAAATACTGCCTTTGGGGGAAGATGGTACAAATTTGCCAGAGAAAGGAATGCAATTCTGGGACCTCCTAGCTGAAGGATTATGTAAATCACTCAACACTACTAGGGTTGAAGTTAGGAAAATAAGAAATTTCCATTTGTAGCCCAGCTAATTAGCCTAAGGAAAATGGTGACAGAGGATGTATTTCGTAACTTTTCAGGAGGTAGCCCTGGTAGGAGCCATCCTGAGACATGATTCTAACCATACTCATTTCCAAGAAGTTGCATGCAGTAGTTAATATTTTTTGAGTTTTTCCTGTCTCCCAGGCTTGAAACAAAATACATAGAGTTCATTGTTTTTTCTTATTACATCATATTTACAAGGAAGAAACTGAGGCACCAGAGGTTCATTAAATTGTCTAATGAATGTTATGAATTAACATTTAAAAATTAATTTTACAGTGGGGCCAGGGAGATGGCTCAGTAGAATAAGCACTTTCTTGGCAAGTGCAAGAGCCTGAGTTCAATCCCTGGTTCCACAAATACAACAAACAAACAAACAAACAAACAAACCACTTAAAAAATTGATTTTACACGTAAGAAAACTGAAACACAAAGAAACCTAGTCATAAAGAAGTATTTAGTTGCTCGCTAAGACAGATAACAAGAACTTTGCCCATAGGATACGTGTTCTGGCAGCACGGCACACTTGCCTTTGGTGGAGGGCTGGAGTGCCACGTGGTGTCTTGGATGTCACCTAGAAAAGTTTTATTCCAGGGCCGCGGGTAGTGCTGCTTAAGCTTCCACTTCTTATTTTCTCAAAAGCCTGAAATCTTGGATCTCAGAGCCTCAGATATACTCAACAGTAGTTGTGAAGCCCTTTCTAGTATTTCAAAGAGTCTAAAGTAAATTGGCTATTTAGAGGCTTAAAACAGTATGTGCCAAAACAAAAACCCAGGATGAGCCAATGAATGCATAAAATCATTTTTTTGCATTTGTCCAAATAATTTAGTGCAATGATTTCATTATCTTGTATGATCAGACATTTTTCATGGCAATTATACATTTCTAACCTTAAAAGTGGGTAGCTATTATCTTTTATATAAAGCTTAGGTCCCAGGGACAACCCGCTTGGGTCCCCCTTCTGTCTGTCTCAGACAGAAGCTTTCTTTTCCCCAATAAATACATTTTACTCTTTTAAAACAAGCTTAAGTAAGTCCTTCTAAAACAAAATCTGGGGTTTGGAGTGCAGAAAAGAGAGAGATGGACCTTGGGGACAAAAAAATTGGTACCTATTAGCCTAATGAGTACAAGACAGAAGCGCTGCTAATAGCTGACAAATCACAACACCCTGGAATGGATATAGGCCTTCTATTGCAAAAGAACACAGTGTTTCCTGGTTGTTTTCCTTCTACATCTGTGTTATTTTCTTTTTTTAATAAATTAATGAACTTATTTATTCATTTGGTACAGGATCTTGTTACACAACTCGGACTTGCAGCTCCCGGGAGCTGGGATTACAGGCGTGTGCCACCATGGCTGGCATAGCATGCGGTAGTGGGGATTGAACCCGGGTCCTTGTGCTTGCCAGGCAGGCTCTCAGACCGCTGAACTATCTCCCCACCTCCCTTGTCTGTGTTCTTAATCTTCTTTTATTTCACATAAACTCTGACTTGTTCTTGCAAAGATTTCTGGGACTTTTACCAATAGAATTAGCAAAATATAATGAGGATGATGAACTGTTGCAGATCCCTACATCCACTACCAAATGGTGTATTTTAAAGCCAAACAGAAATACTATTTTGTAGTATCTGCTGTTTGGGTTTTCTGAGCCACTAGACTACATCCAACCTTATCTTTTTCTTGACCACCTGGGTGTCAAGAAAAAAACTTAACTTTTTACAATCTATCCCTACCTTACTGGTTTGGGAAGTCACTTCTACCATGTAACAAATTCCTATATGTATTTCTATCAATTTCTGGACTTCTTATTTTGGTCTATCTACTCATATAGGCTGGTACTTTACTGTTTGAACTGTTGTACTGTAGAGTATTTTAATGTCTGTGATGACTAGTCACACCTTGAATGAAATAGCATGTTATCTACTCAACTCATGCTCTATGAAGATAGCAGAAAGCTATATTTTAATTCCAGCCCTCCCAGATCAGGGAGAGACCTGGTGATTTGGAAACTGATAACAAAAGTGGTGGTTGAATGTGTAATACTGTATGTGGTCCCCAAGGAAAATAGCATACTGCATAGCATAGTATAGGAAAGTAAATCTTAACAGTCAAAGCCTAATAGTTGGAGAAGGTAGGAGAAGGAAGAGGAACCAATTAAGGAAAAGGGCATGACCTTTGTGGTTGAAGGTTACTTTTGTCTCGAAATTGTCAATCTTGCTTCTCAGGCAGCACATTGAGAAAGGTCTGCAGTGGGAAAGCGAAATACTTGTTTGTCCTACCATAGGAAACCAATCAAAGAGAGGAAATGTTCTGCAAAGTGGTAGAGGGCTGGTCGTGTGTGTCAAGGAGGCCAGGTCATCATATTCGTCTCTGAGCAGCTCACAGGTCTGGACATGTAGTGACCTTGAGTCCCAAGATTGCCTCTGTACCGGCTTGTGCTTTTGATGACACAAGAGTAAACCTCACTGTGTGCTTCCCAGGGAGAATGAGGGAGGTGTATTATTCCTAGCCCTTTCTCTAGAGGACAGTACTGTATCTATCTAATAATACACCTTTACTGGAGAAGATCTCGGAGAGTTAACTTTTGATGCTGGTTACTGCGAGAAAGATATCCAAAGTGATCAGCAGGGGCAAATCTTACTTTGTTTTCTTTGAAAGGCTTCTAATCCTATATTCTGCCTGCGTCTTTAGTAAAGGCCAGTGAGTGATAAGATAGACAACACATTGTAAATAGACCTGGACTTCAGAATGGCTGTAGAAACCACACCTGGAATTGCGTTTGATGACTTCATGCCCCCTGCGGATGCCCGTAATAACCTTTGGCACCACGTGTACCCTCCCCGTCCTCCTCAATTTCCTCTTACTCCCTGGAGATGATTGCACTGCACTTACCTCACAGCCGTGTGGGGAGGGTTAATTAGCTTCGGATGGGAAAGTTCTTTGAAGATGAATCATAGGGTAAGGTGAACGTGCTAATTTGAGGCTTCACAGCCTTCAGATTGAAAAAAGTGCCTGTCCAAGCCCCAACAGTAAAGGGTAAATGGGAGCTGGTCTGCTTCGGAGGAAGGGGGGTGGGCTTTGCAAACCAAGTGAGCCAGCGAAGTTGCCTTATTCAAGATTTATTCCACGATCATTTACCAAGTATAAAATGTAATGGGCAGCCGTGTGGCCTCGGGGACTCTGAAGTGCAGGCGTAGCACTCGCTGCTGCACTGATCATTACCTATGGTAGAAAACAGAACTGTGGCTCCGTGGGTTGGAAGTCATTTGCCATCATTGCTGAGAGCGTGGCAGCCATGGCAGTTCCCTCTGTATCTAGCACTCAACAGCTGACGAGCAAGGTCACGGGCGCACCTGCGATCCTCTTACTTCTCAGATGAGTCCCTCACCTGATCCACAGCCAGCCCCTTCTCTCAGGCGCTTATCATGAGGAGAATCTTTGCTTCCATTCACAAAAAAAGGAATAAAAAGAGAGGAACTCCTTTCTTGGCCTCTGTTCTTATATATTGTTCTTTGTAAAACTACCTTTGAGGTGTGCTTTGTTTTAAGCCCAAGGTAAAAGGGGCTGTTTTAGACATTATCAAAGAACACTTTGTCTGCCAATGAGTTTTATGGTCTGGAAATTGGTGCAGAATATGGATGAGATCGCCAATGCGCATTTCAAGCTGAACTTTTTTTTTTTTTTAACTTTGTATTTTTTCTCTTGAGATGCCCTTGAGTGAGAAAAACAAGGAGTAGAAGAGGAGGAGGAGTGGAGAAACTTGATTAAGAAAGGTGGGTAAGAGTAAATCTGGAAGGTGAGGTGAGGGCTTCCTTGGGCCCATGAGGCTGAGAACACTGTTGGAGGGAAGTCAGGGGCTGTGGAAGGTGAGAGGTATCCAGAAGAGCAGCTGGGCAGCATTGTTGGAGAAGCTGCTGGATTTAACTGAGAAGCCCATTGTCAAGTAAAACTGTCTAGTGTTGTTGCTCAAGATACAGACCTTAAAAGCAAAGAAACTGTAGGACAAAGCATTATTCCATTAACTGGAAATTTCAGATACTCAAGGCTTCCTATTCACATAAACTCATACCTCTGTGCAGACATGTATAGGTACGGTATTGCAGCAAGAGGATCCAGCCCTGAATATCCTGGCGCTCCATGGGTTTTAGAGTTATGTTCATAACAATATGTGTTTGTTTTTCCCAGCTCTTTATTGAAGTTTAAGATTCTTGCCCATCACTGCTTATTTAATGGTGTGTTTCAGGGATGGTGCTAGTAGAAAAAGCTAAATTTTGGTGGGGTTGGGATATTTGCATGAGATTATAATATAGATTTTCCTTCTGATATAGTGCACAGTCGTATTCTAATTTTCTTGCTGAAGTCTTCCTTCTTATCTGCTTAATTTGTTGCATAAATGCAGTTGTTGGTTTGCTGTAGCCTAAGAGAACATAAGAATGGCTCTTCACTTTACTAGTAAAGAGGCAACTGTTTATGCACTGCAGCTGTTCCTGTAATAGCTCTGTTATCACAAAGAGCCATAATGTTTGGGTCCAGAGTGACTCTTTTGATAATGTTAAAGACTGGATTCAGGGCTGAATTGGGCTTCTGGCGCAACCAGGTGGCATAATCAAATTGGTGTTATTTGAGGGAGTTCCCAAAGGGCTGTAAAGTCAGCAGTGGAGAAGAGCCGCTGTCACCGTACCCTAGGCCACTGATGGCAGAACTTTTAGAGTTTTCAGTGATAATAGGCCACTGTGGCACGCATGCCATAGGGGGACTACCACTGCTCTAAGCCTAAAGGACCAGGGAGACAATGGCTATTAGCATCTGGGAGGTGGTACCTGTGGCATGTCATCTACTGAAAGGTGAGGGGCATGACTGAAGGGTAGATGGGAATAAATATACAGTTTCACTGTCTGCTCATCTTGTAATTTGTGAGCACCTTCTATTGGCTAAAGCAATCTGTAGGTCTGTAGGAAACTATGGGAGAGGTCTTTCCAGCTTACCTGCCAGCACAGGAAGGGTCAGAAGGGATGAAGGATGGGTGTGGAGGGCAAAGGAAGAACTGCAAAGTGGTTTCCCACCCCCCAGCCTGGGGTAGCTTGGGAGACCATGTTGCAGTAGTGTGTTTAAGACCCGAACAGTGTGTGTTGAACCACATGTGAACGTACAGGTCCTTGTTAGGCAGACCCCCAGCTACTGAAAATGAAGTTCTCACAGTCTCCGCACGTGTAACTTTATATTAGAGTATTAAAAGACTGATCTTTTGATAAGAAATCAAAACAAGAATAGCAATTTTATTGGTATAGACAAAGAAAAATCTCTTTAAAACTTGTGTTTAATTAAGAAATCTTCAACCTGTCTCCAGTCATGGAGTAGGACTTGCTTTTCTCAACCCAGTGCTGTAAAGAAGGACAGACAACTGGGTGTCCACAGACTCCAAACTTTGTTCAGGCTAGACACCAACTCCTGGGCCGAAGTAGCTATGAGAAGATTTGGTGAATGAGAAATATATGAATTGGGCCTTCCAAGCTACATGGAGAGCATGACACATACCTAAAACAGTGATAAAGTGTACATGTGAAAGAACATAGCGTGCTGCTGCTTAGAGCAAATGCTGTGAAAACTGCTGCCTGCTGTTCATCTACAAACAAGGATTCATCAGAAACCAATAAAAGAACATACTGCAGTGAGACCTAATATTGTTCTCCATATATTCTAGAATAGTTTCCTTAAAACTGGTCTTCAAAGGAATTTTATACCTACTATTTTTTTGGGTGGGGTGTGAGAATTGAACACAGAACATTGGGCACGCCAGGCAGGTGCTTATGCCCCTGAGCTATATACCTGGCCATATGCCTAATTTTATGTATGTGCAGATAGCCATAGAATTTGAGAGCTGAAAATACCCATACTGGACTTCATCATGCAATCTTGTCAAACACTCAATGACCTTAATGAAACAGGCTGTTATGGTATCCATAGAGAAACAGTGTGTCTCAATGTTATCTTTCTTTCTTTCTTTCTTTCTTTCTTTCTTTCTTTCTTTCTTTCTTTCTTTATTTTTTATTTATTTTTTTTTTTTGTGGAACCAAGGATTGAACTTGGGCCCTTGTGCTTGCCAGGGAAGCACTTAACCTACTGAACCATCTCCCTGGCCCAAATGTTATCTTTCTAATGGATTTGATAATTTGGCAAAAATGTGGATTTGATAATTAGGCAAAAATGGCAATGGACAGCTACTTACCTTTCATTCTCTTTAATCCCTAGTTCTCCACAAAATTGAGACAGAGAAAACCATGTCTCAGAGCAAGTGAGTGATTGGCTATGGGTACAGCCCCAGGCAGCGGCAGGGCCAGACTTTGCATCTTGGCCTGGATGCCTTCAAAGGCTAATTCCCCCATTACACCAGGCAATGCTCTCCCTTAGCTTTCCCCTTATGGGACTCTGAACCACATCATGAACCATTAGATGCCATTTTTGTGCTGCAATTAAGCACTATTTAATGCACATAATTTTTCAGTTTCCTCTGGGAATATGAAATTATGCACATATATATTTTTGTATATGTACATTTCCTTCTGCTCCTAGTAGTAATAGTGACAATTTATTGGCAAGTGACACGCTGTAACTTTGTTATATATGCAGGATGCAGTTGTTTTTTGGTTTTTTGGTTTTTTTCCTTAGGACTGCTTTTATAAGCTTGTCAGCTCCCAGAGAGTTTTTAAATAATCTGTTCTGGGTTTTGTGACGATGCAAAAGTCAGCAATGTTCTTTTGCCATAGCATGCAGTTTATTGTTGGTTTTAAATGTCCTTCTGTTTCAAAATGATATCTGCAAACATGTTCTTTTCTTGTGTAGCGCATTTTTTGGATGGAGAATTGAGAATAGAACTGAGTAGTGGGGGCTCTATAAACAATGACCGGTGACATAACACCCTAGGACAGAAGAAAGGACAAACATGTAGTAACAGTTGTGCTCTTGAAGATGTCTCAATTGAAAAATAACTGGTTTCTGAAAACAGCCAAGATGATTGGTAACCCAGTCTCTGTTGGCCAAAGTTATAGATACATGATGGATTAAGCAAGCACTTGAACAATTCATTCATTCAAGAAGATGCCTGTATACACATGTAAATATGAATAAGCACAAATTTATGCAGGCATACATACATATACACACATACTCATATGCATGTAAATGAATTTATCATCTATGGCTTCTGCTTTGGTAAATTCTGTCTGTATATACACAGAAAGATTAAAATGAGAAACATCTGTGTGGATATTTTATTTTTACAGTCATTTTTCTACATTAGTGAAGATAAAACAGTAAAAAAATGCTAGCTATCACCTTACATATGGACGGGCTCAGAATGCTGAATTTTCTCACTTTAGTTCTGAATACCAAGGAATTAGAAAGCTCACCCTTGGCACATGTGTTCCTCCATTCAGCAAGCGTGGAGTAATGGATCCTTTGCCAGCTGTTGGCCATTCGAGCCTCAGATTCTTTTGAGAGCTTTGAGTGGTTATTAAAAGAAATGAATTCAGTAAATCAAACAAGGATATGGGACATAAAAGGCCATGTTCTCTGTGCCCAACCTATGTTGTTGCCTGGTTGACATCCACGCAAAGCTCTCAGCAGCACTGTCCATTAATCACACAAAACACCAGTATGTGTGCAGTTGTCCCACACAACTTCTGTCCCACCAAGTCTTTCTGCGAAGTTCACAGGCGCTCCTTTCCAATGGAGAAGGAAAATCTTTCATTTACCTCCATAACAGAAGTATCTATATAGAATTGCCTTTCAGTTGGCCCTTGACTTTTTATTTTATTTATTTTATTATTTATTTATTTTATTATTATTTATTTTATTTATTATTATTTATTTTATTATTTATTTTATTATTTTTTTAGCACATTTAGTACAGGGTCTACAGAGTCTCACTACACAGATCAGACTCCTAGGGAGTCTCCTGTTTTCAGCCTTCCAAGTGCTCGGATTACAGGTGCGCGCCACCACGCCCAGTCTCAACTGCTGTCTCAGCGCGCCCTGGGGCGGGGCAGGCACAGCATGCTGGTGATCAGATCCTGGCCACTGCGTCTGCCCAAGCAGGCCCTTCAGTCCGCTGAGCTCTCTGGCTGACCCTGACCCGTGACTTTTTAAAAGAAATGACCAAATGATGGATGCATCAGGAGCACTTCGAAACAAATCTCAAGGATGATGCATGCGTCACTTGGTGCCCTCTGTATGGTAACTCAGAGGACTCACTGACTTAAGGATCTCAGAAGACTGTCATTTTCTGAGAAAAGGGGAATTAATAAATTGCACTGTGTCCTCTTTGGCTTCTAGGAAATACAGGGCAAAAGCTAACACACAGTGGAGAACAACCCTTGAGCCGATCAGTATCTTTGCTAGTCTCATCTGAGATAGGTTTTACGCAGTATCCTGAGAGCTTTCTGCCTAAGTTACTTGGCACAAGCCTCATAAGCACCATTCCTGGAAGTAAACAGGGTAAAATTAATTTCATTTGTATAAAGGAAATTTCACATTTAAGTAACACATTTTTATCACCTTCTGCTATGGTTTGGATCTTACATGTTCCCACATACCCATTTCTTACAGGGTTGGTTCACAGGGTGTGCTGCTAGGAGGCGGAGCCTATGGAAGTCTGTTAGGTCATTAGGCTCGGCTCTCATAGGGATAATGGGACCCAGTTCCCTCACTGCTCCTCTATTCTGCTTCCTGGCCGTGAGGTGAACACTGTTCAGTTTTACTCCTTGACATTCTCCGG